TTCGTTCAACTTCAATACCTCCGCTCATAAAAGCTTGCGCACATCTTCGATTTTTCGCAGAAGGAAGTGCCACAGCAATGACTTTAATTTGGAAAACTGGGTGTGTCGGTAGTTTTAAAAGAGGTGATTCAATTGATAAAGGAAAAAAATTGCAATCAGTGTTCGCTTTTGTTTCGCCGAAAGGGCGTTGTCCAGGGGAACTAAAATTTCAAGATATTGGTTTATTATTTTCACCATATTCTGTAAAAGCAAACTGCATTGCAAAAGGTTAATATCGTTCAAATTATTTAATATATGACACACTTTTCAATTTTCGCTCCTAAATACGCTCCAAAAACATTCCCAGCAACCACTAAAATGTAGTCGCCTGTATACACATTATGTAGCAACTGCAGTTGTCAGTTGAAAGTTGCCAGTTGCCATCTGTAATATCGTTTTGGCAACTAGCAACGCAACTGAAGTTCGATTGCTATCGATAATCTACCCATTATTCATCTAATAATAATGCAGCACACAACCCTGAAATCTAGGAAAAAGTCTGAGGAAGGCCATTAAATAGCAGCACACAACCCCGTGCCTTCCTCAGGAGTCACGGTGCAGCGAACAAAGGTGGCGCCGTCAGTGGTACCGCTACTTTGGTTTTGCCGATTTTGACAGTTGTGGTAACTTGTAAATAAACCTTTGTTTACAAATCAGCTAAGGGGAAATTTGAATTATAAGTGAAAAATCAGTTTAAATTGTGTTAATTTGCAATTTGCGAGTGATTTTTTAGTTGAAGACTGCTTAAAAACTAGTTCAATGAAGTGCTGTGTGTTATATTGCGACAGCCGTCAAGATGCAAGAAGCGTAGATGCAAGTGTTGCGCTGAGACGAATCGCTGCATTTTGTGTACATAGGGCACGGCAAAGCCGTTCCCGAAATGTTTCTCTATTATTAAATTAACAGCATTTCCTCACAAGGATTTTGTTTCTGCTCCACGCAGCTTCCATTAGCAAGTTAACTAATCAATCCCGCAGAGATGCTGCTGCAGTTTTCTGCAGCAGCCTTAATTGCAAAGCAATGGAGTGCACTAAACCGTTTGCTGAAGCAGCCTCAATTGTAAAGCAATGGAGTGCACTAAAATGTTCACTATTCTCTAATAGATTAGGTGAAAAATGCAATATTTTCACATTTAGCAAAATTAAAACACGGGTTTCGTTGTAAAGTGAACTGCTTTGGCAGTTTCAACTCGTTCTTCTTTTCGCTCTATTCTTTGTTTACTTGTGGTACACAAATGTCAACGCCCAGGACGGCGCAATCTTGTGTTCTATCATTCTTGCTCAGGAGTGAATATAACTACAACAACAACGACTACTACAACAACAACCCAAAAAGGTTGGTTACTGTCTATACTGAGCCAAGATCGATAGAATACAAGATTGCCCATTCCCGCAGAATGACATTTGTGGAAACGGGTAAACAAAGAATATGGCGAAGAACAATGAGTTGACAGTTGTGAATTTCCAGTGAGAAAACGTGTTTTCTTCTCGATTCACCAATTTCTCAAGCCATCTTTGAATATTGCAAATTAAGCACTACGTTAACAAAAAATATACAACCACTCTTGAAATGTGTTCAAAAGAATAGGTCTTATTAATTAACTATTTAGAATTTTTGTGTTTGTATTGCAGGTGCCGAAAAAGTGATAATATCTTGTCGCAGCGCATGTTTTCCTGCAGAAAGTGGTCGATGCTTGCATACCTCCGATTTTAATTTGTAATTTGTGGTATTTCAACGTTTTCAACTTAACATGTCGTGTTTAATATTACGCTGGTGTCTAAATTGTATGGCTTCTCCTGCCGGCAGAACTCTACCCACTTTCTGGCCAAGGTGTCGTCGCGGGGAAACAAAAAAAAACTTAATTTGGGGGCTTTACCCCTACGGCTGCTGCAATTCAACACACGAGACGACATTTTTATAAACGCACGAATTACTTCGATTTTTCACTTGAAAGTACACAATACGTTTGCACTTGTTTGGGCGTGTGTGAATCGGTAGCAAAGTTCTATGGGGAAAGCTGTTGAATAATATTTTTACTATGGTGAGACAGTTTTGCCAATCTGCTGTGTGAAATGAAATCTTTTTTGACAGCAGTAAATTTTTCATAACCGCAGATTTATGAGCAATAAACTATTACAAATTGAGTGAAATTAATATTTTAAGAAAACATCTACCATCATTGATTGCAGTTCATCAACTTAACCTTTTATTTTACGAAAAATTACACACAGCAGCAATCTTTGCAATTGTCAAAATTTTCTATGCATTTGTCAAAAATTTCACTAGCCCTATGGGCTACTGAAATTTTATTCACCTCAAACTTGTCAAAAATTTACTTGCCGCGAACTTTGTTACCGATTCACACACGCTCTTTCTAAACAAAAAGTTTGTTTACGTATTGCCATAAATGTCAAAGTCGGCAAAACCAAAGTAGCGGTTTCGGGAATGCGCCACCTTCAGTTCATTTCACCATGATACTGAGCTGTATATCAGGCTTTACTATAGCTTTGTTTCTTAACAGATAATTATAACAAATTATCACTACCTTCTGCAGGAAAGCGTTTCTTAACCCAAAAAAAAACTAAAAAAACTAGCAGCTCTCTCTCGTTCTTACGCTCATCTTTTTTCTGGCTCTCCTGCTAATTTCTGCTAAAAAAAAAAATTTTTTACTAGCAGAAACTAGCAGCTGTCAAAATGACAAACAAAAATTCGCGCCAAATATTTTCAAAAGTCAAATACAGCGATCAGCTGATTACTTGCTAGTTTCTGCTAGTTTTGTGTTTCTTTACTTTTTCTTTATTTCGCTCTCTGTGAGCGTAATTCTTTCAATTTTCTCATTCTTGTTCTTCCTGATAATTATCTGCTAGAAAAGAAAAGAAACAAAGCCATAGGCGTAGGGTCGACAACCTACCTGAAAAGTTTTGTTCATGTGCATAAACTAATAGGCCTTTCGCATGTAGCGATTTTTCAGGCACCAAAGATTGAATGCGGAGTTGAATGAGAAGTTGAAAGTGAAAAAGTTGCCATCCCTATTCAGATGAGGCGATTTTCGATTCAACTCGAATTGTTGTTTACATTATTTAAAATGAGTTTAAATCGCCAAATTTTATCAATTGGCGTAAATTTGGTAAGCCAAGCGTTGGTATAAGTGCTTTTAGCGAAGCTGAAAGATAAAATAAGAGTAAAAAAGTAAAAAAGAAAAAAAGTATGTATACACAACAGTGTTGGCATTTTTTGGTACAATTGTACTTGTTTGATACAATTTCATTTACAATATACTTTCCTACTACGCAGTACTTTTTAATACAATTTTGTAATGAATACTAAAAATATACTGCTCTGAAAATTCACAGCAAGAAATTCTTTGTATTCTCTTTTGTTCGCCAGTTCGTATTTACCTTTGTAAGTTTTGAAAAATGGCTTGAACGAACCAGTATAATACAGCCTAGGCAAATTTTTAAAGAAACTTTTCGATACTAAGTTTTATTAAAACAAAATGTCGAAGTCAACTTCATATAGAAAGAAAGTCTTCGTTAGTTATAAGAAGAGATTTTCTTAAATATAATACCTTTACGGCACTCACATATTGAGAAGATTTACTATTTATTTTATTATTCTTTAATTTTAACTATCTGTTTATAAAATATATTGTATTCTTTAAGAAAAACTGTATAAACCCAAGATTAAATCTATGCGAAACATCCAAAAACCAACATACTTTCGTAAAAATTTCAAGCTTTATCAATATTCTTTAGTTTTTAGCCCATTCAATTTTAGTATAATAAAGTGCAAGTTTAAAGTAGCTGGGACTTACCGTTGAACTTGGCATTTTTTTTTGTCGACGATGTCAGTCATTTTCTTCCATACGAAGTGTGTTCGACGATATTTTTATATGGAGAAAATTAGTAACACCTTCATCAAAGAAATCTTAAAAAACTTACTTATGTTAAAAATTAATTGCTAAAAAACCGCACACTCAAAATAAATCTAGGAAATCGAATTAAAAGGCTCGAAATTTTTACGAAAGTGTGTTGGTTTTTTTTTAATGTTGCACAAAGTTTGGACCTTGGATTTGTACGGCTTTCCTTAAAATATAAACCGTATTTTTACAAAAAATAATTAAAATTTAATAATATAAAGATAAATGGTCAAATCTTGTCGTAAAGTTTTGATAAGTACGTGAAATGCTATAAAAATGTCAAATTTTAGTACTGAATCCAAAGAAAATGTCTCTTTTATCCATTAATATCAACTTAAATATGCTTTTTGTTAAGATGTATACCTGAAAATGTGTGCATACATATTTGCGTTAAATGCAGTACATGTGCACGTGGAATCAATTTGTAAAAGTGTAAAATACGTAAACGTATGTACATAAACAATAAAACTTTCTCATGAATAACATAAAATCATTGGTCTTGAAGGGAATGTACTAAGAATATATATGAGCGAATTAAAAAGTGTATACAATTTATAGCCGAAAAGTACATTTTTTGTATAGATTTCGTAATGAAGGAACGATTTCATTTCCCAACACTGATACAGAATGTAAAGAAACACAGGGTTGCAAGGAAAAAAAGTTGAACGATCTCAAAGTTGGCTGGCGACCAACTTTGTTGAAAGCGATTAGTTGAAAGGCCGTTCGGACGAGGCGATTTTTGCTTTCAACTAAAAGTTGCCTGAAAAATCGCCTCGTGCGAAAGCCCTATAAGAACACACTGCTTGTTAAAAAGTTCTAGGCATAAAAATAATAAGGTTGTCTGTGAAGCAATCAATAAATAGGACAAGTTGAGATATGTGTTGCTTTATTTGATGTTATTAAGAGTACGATTCCTGTGTTCACCTAAGTACAAACGATATTTTTTTGTTCGCCAAACAAATTTGAACGTACGGATTTTGTACTGATTTTTCACCCACCACTTTTTGTCCGTGTATGGACTTTATACGTCTGGCATCCCTGATTGGACGTGGACGTTTGCCGTGGCAATTGTGCTAACAGAAAATTTGTTTTGATTGGTGAACATTTTTAGAATCTAAAATTGCCGATGGAGTTTCTGAAAAGCGGATTTAAGACTGTACTGGGCACTGCCGAGCCTGGGCAGCACCCCAGTGCAGCAGAAACTGTTGAAAAATTGGTTGATCGTGTAATTTCTTCGACGTTATTAGATGATCGACGAGATGCCTGCCGCGCATTAAAGGCGCTTTCCAGGAAATATAGAATTGAGGTCGGAGCTCAAGGAATGCCAGCATTGGTTCAGATTCTTAAACACGATTGTCAAGATTCAGAAATTATTAGTTACGCTTTAGATGCCTTGTGTAATATAACAGCATCTGAAGAGTTCGATGAAGAAGCTGACAATCCAGCTGTTTCGGTCAACGTCGGGGAACAGTTTACTGAAATGTTCATAAAAGCACCTGATCATGTCACCTTAGTTATGGGTTATTTAGAAGAATATGATTTCCGGGTTCGTCGTGCCGCAATTCAACTTATTACTACTCTAATTGCCAACAAAACCCGGGACTTGCAAGAAATAATTCTGGTAAGCCCAATGGGTGTGTCCAAGTTAATGGACTTGCTAACAGATAGCCGTGAGGTTATTCGAAACGATGCCCTGCTGTTACTTATTCAGTTAACCAAAGGTAACTCAAATATTCAAAAAATTGTTGCTTTTGAGAACGCATTTGACAAAATTTTTGAAATTATTCAAAGTGAGGGGTGCTCCGATGGCGGCATTGTTGTTGAAGACTGCTTAATACTATTATTAAATTTGCTAAAAAAACAATTCAAGTAATCAACAGTTTTTCAAAGAAGGCTCTTTTATTCAGCGGCTTTCTCCAATGTTTATCATAGCTCCGGAAACGGAAGAAATTGGATGGTCACCGCAAAAGGTTTCAAATATACATTGCATGTTGCAAGTAGTACGTGCGTTAGTTACACCAAGTAACCAACAACAAGTTGTGTCCTCCTGTCAGAAGGTGATGCGAAAATCAAACCTGCTGGATGCATTATGCAGCATTCTGATGGGTAGTGGAGTACCAGCTGATATACTCACGGAGACGATAAACGCTGTTGCTGAAATTGTTCGCGGTGAGAAAGAAAATCAAGACCAATTGAGTATTGTTGTGGCGCCTAGCAATCCACCTCGGCCGGCTATAGTTGTATTGTTGATGTCTATGATCAACGAAAAACAGATGCTAGCGTTAAGATGTGCCGTTTTGTATTGTTTTCAATGCTATTTGTTTCGAAACATAGACGGACATCAAACCGTAGTGCAAACGCTATTGCCATCTTCTGAATCTGAAGTTAGTAGTCATTCAACAGGGCAACTACTATGTGTTGGGCTATTTTCAACAGATCCGTTAGCCAATTGGTTTTCTGCCGTGGCTCTTATGCATGCGCTAGTTGATAGCGTTGCACAGAAAGAAGAGCTTTTACGCGTTCTTTTGGCCACTCCTGGTGGAGGCAAACCTATAACACTAATCGAACAGTGCACAAATTTACTTCAACAAGATAGTTATAAGCTGCAAAGTAAAGTTGGACTTTTAATGTTGTTGGGCATGTGGCTGGCACATTGCCCAAGTGCCGTCAAAATGTTTCTTGGTACAAACGGAACAATGGCATATTTGACTGCGCAAATTAGCGCAAATGAACACGATGAAAATGAGTATCTAATACAAGGATTATGCGCCTTTCTTATGGGACTTTGTATTCAATTTAACAATAATACTCTTGCCAACCAAAAACGAGATGCTATTTGCCAATTGGTTATTAAGCGTATCGGTCAAGAGACATTTTGTAACAAGTTAAGTGAAGTATCACGACATGAAGCCTATAGCCGTGCTTGCAAACAGCCTCAAATTCGAGCAAAATCGTCCGCTGATCTATTGCTAGACTTCGAATATTGTAAGTTATACAAGGGTTTGGAAGCGTTAATAGGAAAGGTAGTTAGTGGTTTCGACGTCGATGGTATCGAATTGACTGAGCTAACACTTAGCTCTGAAGCCTCGGCCCTAGTAGCAAAATACAAAAGTATAATTCGAGATCTTGATGGACAAATAAATTCTCTACAGCAAAATGCAAAACGAATTGAAATTAAAAATGCCGAAATAGAACAAAAGCTAATACAAGTGGAAAACCTTAATACACAATTATACGACCAAAATACATTGCTTAAAGCTCAATTGGGAGCTGTCCAAAATGACCCGTCCTCTACCGGCGAAGCTGCAACAGTTAGCGCACTTAATTCTGCACAGATCCAAACCAATTTATATTGTTCAGAAAACATTCGTTTAACTCGGGAACTTGAAACTCTGCGTAAGCAATTGGAACATGAAACAAATCGAGCTAACAATGCTAGTGATGATTTGCAAAAACTTCAAAAGGATCAAGACGACCTTCTTGAACTTCTAACCGATCAAGAAATTAAAATTAACCGGTATGAACAGCAGCTACGCTTTGCTGGTTTGCCCATTGAGAATGATGAAGACACTGAAAATAAATCGGGTTTTATAAATGATGGAGGCACCGCAGACGCCAATCTTAGTCAATGCAATAAAAAATGTTAGAGATGAAATTCCTTAAAAAATTATCATAGATTTAGGCACACAATTACAATATAGATAATGGAATTTTACCGAGAATTTTATCCATACACTATTAAAAATAATTCCAACAAAATATGTAAATATTTAGTATTTAAGCATCATTAATAAATAGAAACAACAATCACAGATTTAGATGGACAAAACCAGAAAGAATTGAAGATGAAGAACCATAGTTAACTGATATAAGTTAAATAAAAACTAAGCAATTGTTTTTTTTTACAATTTCAGTCCTTTTACTCGATTTGTTCAAATAAATTTAAGTCAAACGTCTGAAGTTTTTAGGTACCAGGAATCCACTTAAAACTGCAGAAACAATAGAAAAAAGAAATACATTTTCTTTCATCGCAAACTACAAAAATACAGTTGCCAATATACATCCCCAGTAAAAAATGTGTTTATTATTTATTCTGAACTTTTACTTGGGACAGAGAGATTTAAATACATTTCAATTTTTACGGTAAATCACGCTGTTCCTAGTAGCTAACTATGGGATATGTCATTTTCACCACCCTTTATGTGTTTATGTTTTAACCATAGTCATTGGTGTAGTTTTCTGTTGAAAATTTTTGGCACTGGAGCAGTTGGAAACTGTATAGTTCATTTTACACATATAATTATTTACTATTGAATATATTGTTTGTGATAACAGTAGTTAAAATTATAAAGGAACATCAACTTAACAAATGAAAATACTTATAAACTAAAAGCTATTACAATCGCATACAGCAAGGGGTTTTACCCTTCTTTAATCGTTCCCACGACAGTCGGGTCTACGTAACCGGAACGACCCAGATTTATATCTGGCCAAGGACTGTCACTCCAGCAACACTCCCCAAAAAGTCTTTGGGGAATTTGTATGCTGCTACAACAACAACAACCCTTCTTTAATAGCGCGAAAATGAGGAAAAACATATTGCACATATAATTCTTTTACTGTGCCACTTGTAGCAGAGTCTCCTTGCTTGGTCACTGCCATGACGAATTTCCATAGATCGTACCTTAGAGCAATCAGAGATAGATTGTGGGAATCGTCCAAGTGTTTTTAAGGACCCACAACCAGTGATCGGACTTAGTCCCCTTTCAGACACGTCAAGTCTTGCTTTCAAGTCTGCTCGTTCGTTGGCGAAGGAGGTGGGAAGAGAGGGGAAGAGTACAGATACCTCCGTACCGTCAATTCGTTTCAGGTTTTCTTGTCTCTTTTGATCTTTTCGTTGCTTCCCATTTAAGAACCAAGGACTTGAATTCAATTAAAGTTGACGCGTGTGGAAGCAAATAGAAACACAGTGTTGACGACGACTAAATAAATTTACACTGTATTTAAAATAGGAAGTTTAGTATTTATTGCGATTTCCAATCTTATAAAAACGTATGGTGTATATTTGTTCGGTTTAAATATAAGACGATGACAAAATTGCTGCTTGCTTGCTTGTTGGCGTTTGTTGGTTCGTTTGTGTGTGTTTCAAAATTGGTGTTCTTGTTCAAGCGTCTTCTTCGGCTTTTAGATTGGATATTTGAACGTATAAAGTGGAAAATGTACATAACGAGAATATGGTAAGAATACAAGAATACAAAGAAGTAAAAACATGATGACAGGGTTGCCGTAAACTTTGGTGACTATTAGGCTGGGCTAGTGTTGTAAATTGACATCCCACTCCCCGGTGAATTCTCTGGAGGATTCACTTACGGTTAAAGCGGCTAGCTTACTTGCAGGTCGACGTAGCAGGCCGGAACCCGTTTGAACTTCGGCACTCCTGATCTGTCGATCTTTAGCGGCAAAAACTTCGGTCACCCTTCCTCGTTCCCATTGGCTTCTTGGCCGAGTAGGATCGCATACAATCACCAGTTGTCCCGGCTTTAGCGGCTCTGCCTCATCCCTCCATTTTGAGCGTCGCAGGAGTTGGGGCAGGTACTCGATAGTCCACCTCTTCCACAGCCTATCCTTCAGATTTTGGGTTATGCGCCATTGCTTGCGAAGACATACTCTTTCCTCGACTGAGCTAGGCGTTTGTGTAGAGTTCAGACACCCCAACAGGAAGTGGTTGGGTGTTGATGGCTCCTCATCTTGGGACGTTATGGCTAGTTCTGTCAGTGGACGA